TTACGGAGCGCGAGGGTGCGTGAGACCGTTTACGTAAAACGGCGTAAAGCCTATGGAGGCATGAACAGCGTTGTTCAACGTAGATTTAACAACAGGAAGCACTGAGCTCCAACGACTTGGCGTATCAACGCAAACACTGCGCAAAATGTCATTGATGACGCGATCAACTCGCTCATTTGGACCATCAGTCTGCGGATTACTCTCTACGATCACGTCCAACCTGGTGCCCAGAACCTTGGAGATGGAAGTCCAAAACTTTCCAATGAAACGTGGATCACGATCAGAGACAATTGCCACAGGCAAACGATGCTGTCCAAACACACGATCGATAAATAGCTTTGCTGTGCCTTCAGCATCGATCGTATCCGGCCCAGCCGCTAATTGAGCCATCTTGCTCAAACGTTTGACAAAGGCCATAATACCAATGTGCCTTCCGAATCTTTCGGTAGGCCAAACGCAAAATCCATACTCATGGATTACCAACACCCAGTGGGTACATGCAGACTAGCCAGCGGCGCAGCCGCATGTGCAGAGGGTTTGACCCGTTGACACGTTTCGCACGTACGCACATAGGTGCTCACCTATTTAAACAGTTAAGCAACAAATAAGTCTAGCTCACCGAGCCAAAGGTCTTCTCACGACCGAGATGACCGCTCAAAGCGGTATCATGTGCCTCATAGAGGATTCGATGCTTCAATTTCTCATCGTGAGTGACAGCAAATTGAGGGGTATCCTCATATCCGTGCGATAGCACAACAGGCCATAATCGATGGAAAATCGATGTAGCCTCGCACGTATTTGTGTCGACAATTCTATGTCCGAGTCTTTAAACTCATCGCTCCCAAGAGCCCATAGCAAATCTACATAGTGTTCATCCTTGGCATAAGCCGCACGAATTTAATTCAGTGACTGATTATGACAGTGTCGAAACATGATTAAGCTCATAGTTATGTCGGCGTGATAGCACATTAGCCAAGGCATTTTGCTCATCAGCCAAGGCATTTTGCTTTCCTGGCTTATACTTCACCTCGAAGTTATTTTCGGCTATATATATAGGGCGTAACCCTGGGGAAAGTCAGATTACATTGGCTTGGTGGCTGTGGGGAGAAAATCCACCAATCCCTATAGAATCGGCCTCAGTGCCCTGGCCAGAGATGCTTGAAGCAAGCAGGTGTAAAGGCTAATCCCGAGATAACAAAGGCCAGACACTACTTGCACCTGAGACCGAACTGGTTGTAGAGACCACTCTCGACCAAGTTGATCGAGTAGCCGCCTAAATTGAACCCCGAATGAAGCATATCCGCTCGGGGCCCCGGGTCGACCTCCGCCAATAAGGCCGACGCCTCACATCATCACCAAGTCCTCCGCAGAGTGAAACCCACTCAGCCGACTGGTACACAAGGTGATTCATGGTCCACAAGCGGCATCGGGGTAACCCCTCTCCGATAGTCAGCATTCCGGCGCAGTGAGTGCTTTGGGGGTCTCATCAAACGGTTTTGACAATTCCTCCACCACATTTATTCAAGCATATTTAGCCCATCATTTGTAGTTTTTCCCTATCGTGTGTGGATAGAATCACGCCGACAATCTGGATGTAAGCGCAAAATATGAGATTCAGTGATATCTGAAATGGGAGTCAATATTGCGACAGTCAATTACTCAGACACAGGTGAGTGTTTTCCAACACCTTTCCAGGGAAATACATAGCGTAAATCCTGTACCAGTTTGGAGAATCCAACGAGATTAATGTGTAGCTGAGCGATATAATCGTTATTTATTTGGCAGGATCATAAAAGAAAACCTAGATTTAACTTCATACACTAAAGCTACGCGTCCCGCTCTCCAGTCAAGGATTCTTGGATTCCCTCTCCGACTGAATAATCACGTGTCCTGAGACTCAGAATACCGATCTTGAGTTTTTGACCACGATCGATAGATCCGATCCCGGCCATATGGCCCAGACTAGACAAATGCTCAAAGATTTCACTGCAATCGGACACATGCACAAGAAAATGATATATAGCTTTAAAGACGTCTGAACCTGGTCAGAGATTTGAAAAGAACTTTTAATACTGACAAAAAGATCACGACGGCATGATGCCAGATCACTGTGACCAGAATTCCCTGCAAAGTAGTAAAAACCTTGTTATAATCACATCGCAAATCGGCCTCTTAAGGCCGTAACGACGATCTCGCCAGCCATTCTTAACACGACATCTGTACAAGGTTAGCACAAAAAATGTTATTGTGAGGCATTAAAATGAGCACTCCCCTCCCGTGAGTAAGCAAGTCTGAGCATAGGAAGATCAAAGGCCCTCATCAGCAGTTTTTGTGAGATAGACTATACCATAGGGGGTGGACGTATTGCTGATATCCACTTCAATATCTGATATATCTTGCTGTAGAAGCCCTCTTAGCTGAGTTCTCTGCGACATCAAACAAAGATTTGACTTGATGATGAAGCAACGACGTTGGGAGCTAAAAGATGATCGACGCTTGAGCTGTCGCGAGGCCTAATTTATTTAATAAAAACCAGTATACACAAAAATACAATTTCAAGACAGCCACGTGATCCGAGGAATTTCGCTGAAACAGGTCGTAAGTGAACATGTTGACAAGGTAAGCACATATTCGCATCTTCCTGACGACTAGCACAGAACACACTTTACAATAACACTTATGATTTCCGTCCTTCTCTCACCATTTTATTCTTAAACCGTGACTTTGATAAGCTTTGACGCATGTACCATTTGCTTCTTCCACAGACGAGAGCTTAGTCTTCTTTGCTAAACAATCTTGTGGATAGCTTGCAAACGATGTCTGACATATAAGCACTCTGGACCTTGTAGCTGTCATCGTTCCCAGAAATGAAAGTCTAATCAGCCCCTTCTATTATTAAATAGGTTTAGCTAAGATGACCATGTCAATTACATGGGAACCTCCCTCATTAGAGAAAGTATCGTTTAGGCTGCTACCACCTCCGGTAAACGCCTGTAGCTCACGGAACTTTTAAATGGAATCACAAAATCGGCGTAAGACTAGCCATTATTTTTCCAAACGGATCGATCATTTGAGTTTTAAAAATCGTGCAAAGATATGGGTTGAATTGACTTACTTGAATAGTTACCACTCTCTTTGTAATTTCATAACGCTGAAAATGGGGCCAGAAAATCAATCTGCACAAAATCTTTTGTTGTGTCGTGTAGAAGGTCTGAGTTGCACCACAGAGACGCTAAAACTCTATTTGATAAAAACGCTACAATACTGCCTATCTATAGAGATAGTAGAACAGAGGGGTACGAGATTCGTGTACGGAGATCGTTTGTCTTGGAAGCGGTTTAGACGAAACCTCCAATTCTTCGAGAATCAAGAGGGAATGCGAAATGAAAGCGTCGCGTTCTTCTATGTCTAAAATATAAAATCCTTTCATAATTGTCATTATTCGACCTTTTGCAAGGCAGACATCAAGGCACTTGGAGCTGTATACAAGATGATTTGCATTGTCCCGAGCAATAAATCCGATATATATCCTTTGTAACGGAGCCACCCTGAAGCTTGTACTGGTGACAGGTACAAGCTGCTTATTCTGACGTGACAGAATAAGGCGGTGCCTCGTAACTTCACATACAGTGGTACGTGCAGATTAAGACGGTAAGAAGAAGCGATTACTTGGTTTAAGTAAAACGTAGAACTGTATTTATCATAGTTAATGTCTCGTTAATAAATCACTATTTATTTTCATCTAACTATGTCTAAATACAAATGTGTATATCAACTATCTGCTTTACCACTCATTGCGTGCGTGTCGTGGTGGCAGTCTTCTCATTGGTTGATACAATGGCCTATATCAACCAATTAGGAACTACTCGTAAGTGCTACAGAATAATTGTCCTTATGACAATTTTTCTGAGAATGTATCTCTTATAATTATATTCTATTAACAAATTCTAATAAATTGTTATGTAGCGATTCACCCCGTTACATCCTTGATCAAAGGAGGCTCGCGAATTTAATCTCTCTCGTGAAGGTGGGGTTTTATGGTAGTGATTCTATGGCTTTTTTAAACCTCGTGAAGAGATTTCACTATCCCCCATAAACGTCAAAATGAATTTCGGGCAACGTCATGACAGGAATACATCAGAACTTCGCTACCCGCGGAAGTCAACTACGTCAATGTTTGTGCGCGTGGTCATTTTTTGCAACTTCGTTGCCCTTACCATAAAGAAGAGCCCTGCTTTCATCAGTACGCCATCAGCGGCACCGATTAGGATCTAGTGGAACAGGCGTTCAGTTCCTACACTTTCTGTGGCAGGTAAGCATTGATGTCATTTTGATATAATTTACCATTTTACTATCATTCTCATTCTTTGGTACCCCCAACGCATGTGAAGGGCTCATGTGTACGCAGATCTGGTCGTTTCAAAAGTATACGTAAAGTAAAATGATAAACGATCTCGTCCCACAACAACCTGTCCTGCGTGGGATGGGACTCGGGTCAGATCGATCCCGCATAACCCTGCGCAGGACAGAGCCAAGCGTCAGAAGATAGGACGCGGGATGGGAATAGGGATGGGGACGCTAGATAGGCCGATCCCGTCTTATCTTGCGCTCGAGAGAGCCTTCGCGAAGATCCGGAAGCCACAACGAGACAAGGGAGCGTCAATCGTCAGTGACACGCCCTTGTCTCGTTGTGGCTTGGGAATAGGGATGGGACGCTAGATAGGCCGATCCCGTCTCATCTTGCGCTCGAGAGTGCCTCTTTCCCGTGGAAGCCACAACGAGACAAGGGAGCGTCAATCGTTAGTGACACGCCCTTGTCTCCCGTTGTGGCTTGGGAATAGGGATGAGACGCTAAATAGGCCGGTCCCGTCTCATGGTGCGCAGGAGAGAGCCTTCCCGACTTAGGGAAGGCTCTACCCTGTGCCACCATCAAGTGCAGCTTCAGGTTTCTCTCACATTTCAATTCACCTTGAATACCGCAAACACATTCACGTCAATCGATGAATCTCCGTCTCATCACCTTCATCGCTGCACTCGCCACTGGTTCCTCCACAACTCACGCTGGGAAATGTCCATTCGGTTTCGATGTAGTCGCAAGTGTGAAACTGCAAGAGCGTCAGATCTCCAGTGAGCTCTACAGCTCCACGAGCTGCGACGTGGTCGACTATGATCTGGTCAAACAGGATCTGGAGAAACTCATGACCGACTCAGCAAGCCGTCTGGCCTGCAGACTTTGGCCATTACGGCGGTTTCTTCATCCATTTTGCGTGGCGCTGCAGTGGGTCCTATCGCCAATCAGATGGACGTGGAGGTTGTGACGGTGCTCGAGTCCGCTTTCTACCGGAGCAAATGTGGGGGGACAATCGGAACTTGGACAAAGGCTTTCGTCTCTTGGACCCCATCAAGGCCAAGTACGGTGACGCCTTGTCCTGGGGCGACCTCATCATCTTGTCGGGTAATGTAGCCATCAAGAGTGTCGGAGGTCCCGTGCTCGGCTTTTGGTGGTGGCCGTCGGGACGACGTTGATGGGGCCAGCAGCGTGCCGCTTAATTCAACATTTCATCCAGCAGTCGATGCACCTTGTGCCGTGACGGGGCAGTGTGAGAAACCATCAGGACCTACTACTACGGGCCGCATCGCCGCGAACCCGGAAGGTCAAAAGAACAAGCCGGACCCTGTTGGATCAGCTCTGGAAGTGCGTGACATGTTTACTCGCATGGGCATGAACGATCGCGAGACAGTAGCTCTCATTGGTGGTGGACACGCTATTGGGAAGGCACACGGTGCCTGTCTGACTGGTCCTGGTTCGTCTCCGCTCGAGGATCCTGGGAACCCATGGCCCGGAACCTGTGGCGAAGGCGAGATGAAGGGCAAGGGAACAACACGTTCACTAGTGGATTCGAGGGTGCGTGGACGTCCACCCCGACCAAATGGAGCAATGAGTACTTCAAGAGCCTCACGCAATTGACGTGGGAGACGTATGTCGGACCGGGAGGTCGAACGCAGTGGCGCCCCCGTACCGGACACGCCTGTACCTATTCGGATGCTCACGTCCGATATGGCACTGGTGAACGACGCGAGCTACCACAAGCTTTCGCTCGAATTCGCTGCTGACCAAGCAGCATTGGACGACGCCTTTGCTCACGCCTGGTACAAGTTGACGTCATATGATATGGGTCCCGTGGCTCGATGCCGTGGCAACGACGTGCCCCCAGCGCAGCCGTTCCAAACCCACTACCACCGACACCTGCAACTTTGCCGGATTTTGGTGCTGTGCGTCGTGACGTTCGTGATCTGTTGAAGAAGTCGGTAGACGGTCTACCGAGCGACTTGACCAGCGATGGGACGCCGTATAACGGTGCTTTGTTTGTGCATGCAGCGTGGCAGTGTGCATCATCATTTCGTGTCACTGACTACGCTGGTGGCAGCAACGGCGCCAAGATCCGGTTTTCGCCGCAGAAAGACTGGCCTATGAACGCTGGCGTTGACAAGATCATTGCTGCGCTAGAGCCGATCAAGGCAAAGTACGCGACGCTCTCGACTGCTGATCTGATTGTACTCGCAGGACAAGTAGCACTGGAAGACAGTGGAGACGTGAAAATCGACTTCCTGGGTGGTCGAACGGACGGTCAGAGTGGCAAGGGGGATGAGATTCTAGTCCCGCGTGACTACTACCCTTCGGTTCTGGTCGGTGTGCTCGACAACATCAAGATCCTGGGTGTGTCGCCGGAAGAGGCCGTTGCTCTGGCTGGACGACCCCGCAGTGTCGAGCAGCAGAAGGTACTTGGCTACAGCGGCTCGTACTCTGACAACTCGGTCGCTTTCTCAAACGAGTACTTCAAGATTCTGCTGAACGAGAAGTGGAACCAGGCGGGATCGAACGAGTTCAGGGCTGAAGGCAAGGAAGTTTACATGATGTCGACGGATGTGGCACTGTTGTACGCGCCTGAGCTTAAGATGGCCGTGGAACGGTTTGCCAACGACGAGGCATTGTTCAAGAAGGTCTTTGCATCGGCCTGGGCCAAGGTCATGACGGCCGACCACTTCAATGCCAGCAGCTATTGAGTATACAGTACTGCTGCTGGTTTGTACCCAGTGACGTGTAAACGACTCGTGCGACATACGACGCCTTTTGCGGGGGTCGTGACGAGGAGTTTAGTAGTTGCCGACGTGTATACGGTTGTAAAATGTTAGAGCCTAACATCAAAAGACGGTGACAAAAGCATCGGATATAATTGCGCAACTCGTACTTTTGGGGCTATCGCTAAGCTATTCATTATCTTGAATGGCCGCTTGCTAGATGAATAATGGATTCTCCATTCCCCTGAATGCATTCTCTGCAACATTACCTCTGCGCATGGCACCCATTTTTTGAATCCGATAATGGATCATAGAACACACAACGACAAGCTTCTGTTGCAAGGGCTACACACGCCTGATGCAATGGGTCTCAAAACAGCACTCGCAAACACATACGAAACCTGTAAACGACGACCAACATTGTTTTAAAGACCAACTGTCCAACCTAACTCTTCCATTTGTACTGTCGAACGGTTACCGCAAGCAGCGTGACTTCTTGTAATCGGTGTCGGATGCGTCTGCACAAAAATGTCGCCCTTTTAAGTGGCTTGAAGCATATCGAATCATTCGGAGGCACAGCACGAAAAACTAGAGAAGCGAGAAAGCTGACACATCGAACTTGTCGAGGTTTGGATGCGTATGGCTGAATGGCTAGTTGGCAAAATCGGGGGGAATACACGTCTCACACGATTATTTAAAAACAGTATTTTGACAAGATCGAACACAAATGTTTGGAAGTAGCGTGTAGCGGAGCTGCACAGCTCCTTAAGTCAGAGGGAGGACTTACCGCTCAACGAGCAACTTAGTTCTAATCAACTAGACTCAATGAGTCAACAAGCGTAAAACTTATGGTCCTTGTTCCAGGGGACCAAACGATTCAGTGAATCCACAGCACTTAGTGCTCAAGCGTAACTAGCTACCTCAAGGGAGGTGTTGCCAACTCTTAGTGATCAGTGATCAACGGCCAAAGACGCCTCGCAAGGCACGTGTCTTTAAGATCAAAAGGGAACTGGATTTTATCTGCATTTAAACCTATAGAATATCTGAATCCTAATCTAGACACTCATGTCCAGATCTTAGTGCAACTAAGATCTCTCCTATCTGGTGGCTGACACCAGTCAGCCCCTATAAACCGATAAGATATTCTATGTTTCTTTCAGTGGGATACCATTCGTGTAATCTAAGACAGGGTACCAAGTACCCAACTACGTGTAACCTCTTTTTTATCCTCCTCCACCAGACTGACGCTTACCTAAACGTCAATCGAACTTTTGTTCTTCCACGAGGTCAGTGCGCTTGCGGCTCACCTCGCGGTAACGTAAAGCTTAGCACGATGTCCTCATCACCTAACGAGTCAAAGACTCCCAGTGATTACCTCGAAATGAGGGAAGTTTTGGACTATGGTAGCAATGCCAGTGTCCCGGGTGATGCAGGTACAATGTCTGGTACACCCATGTCCGAAGTACAACCTCGTACTGCCCCCTGTCCGTTCCCTGATCATGATAATGAGAATTCGCCATTGGCGCCACGCTCAGCACCCGGTTCGGATAATGCCATCTTAACGAACGCGCTCAATGAGCAGCAACAGTTACTTGTTAAACAAAGAGAAAGCGCTCGGCGCCATGCGCAAATGGTCGCAACCCTCGAGCACCAACGTGACTATACGATCACTTCACCCAGTGTGGAGGAACGCTAACGTCAAACGAACGGCCAATCGTTGGCAACGTGGGTCATTGACCATAGGTCTAAGTCTCCCAAGGGATGGAGATCGGACAGGCACTTCGCGAGAGGTACCTGGAGCCTCACCCAACGACCTAAGGTCAATACAAGGCACGTCTTGACACGCAAGCACGTTGTGCACCGGTCCCACCCGATCAAGGGTATGCCCATTCTCTTGTTTGCAGGCGAACCAGAGAGCGAAGAATACAATGCCTTCGCCCGCTGGGTGCACTGATACGTCGCCTCAGCAGTGTGTCTGCTCTAAGAGCTAGTGCCAGTGTGGCTGTGCGTCTAGAAAGTAAGCTTCGGTATGACTATGCCAAGCTTAAGGCCAGATGCCAATTGCGTAATCGCACGCGATATGCTTCGGCTACTACGGTAGTCACGAGCGTTGGTCAAACTATGACCACCTCCCCTCCAAATCACACCGATAGTGGAGGGAATCGTCCTCGGTCTCAAGATAACCACGATGTTCAAAAACATCCAAAGCATTAGGAAAATCTTGCCGGAGGGGTACCTCGTATTCTCATCAGTCCTCCGACTCCAGGATGCCCACGCCATTTTACCAGATACTGGCATTGGCCGTGACGACGAATTCATTTTTGGTAGTCTTTCAACATGAAACTGACGACACCCATGCTCATCGAGCAGCGTCGGTGGTGGCCGGTATAACGGTGGCAGTCCACGATAAATTGGGTTTCGAAGTGAAGAGTCTTCAAGAGAACTTGGGTAAGACCCAGTGCATGCTTGATGCGATGCAGAGTCGCCTTTAGGCAATGGAGCATGCTCAAGCTCGGAGCGAGGCTCAGTTGGACTTGCTGATTCGCTTGCAGCGATCCGGGGCACCGCCCTCGTCGTCGGCGCAAGCGCCTCAAAGTTCACGCGGGAAGGATCCCGGTACGGCTTGAGTAAGCCTACGTAGAACACTGGGTGTGTGCGCAATTTGCGCGGAAGGTTGAGCATATACGCACAGCTCTTCTTGGTTTTAATCTTAAACGGTCCGATGAAGCGTGGGCGCAACTTTTTTTTTGGAGAGAGCAGACACTACATTTGTAGGTAGGTTTTTAGCATTGAGTAATACTTGGTCTCCGAACTTTTAACTTTCAATACAATATCTTCATTTGGCATCATTTTGTTGTTTTTTTGATATTGGCTATCAACCATTGCGGCGCGCACATGTCGTAAGACATTCAATTGCGTTGCAAGAAACGCGCCTACCTGTATTTGAACAGTAGCAGGACTGATATTCAGCAAGCCAATCGGCAACCACTCCCTTTACCAAGCCCTGGACCATCGAGTGGTATCGTTTTTTACGGAGCGCGAGGGTGCGTGAGACCGTTTACGTAAAACGGCGTAAAGCCTATGGAGGCATGAACAGCGTTGTTCAACGTAGATTTAACAACAGGAAGCACTGAGCTCCAACGACTTGGCGTATCAACGCAAACACTGCGCAAAATGTCATTGATGACGCGATCAACTCGCTCATTTGGACCATCAGTCTGCGGATTACTCTCTACGATCACGTCCAACCTGGTGCCCAGAACCTTGGAGATGGAAGTCCAAAACTTTCCAATGAAACGTGGATCACGATCAGAGACAATTGCCACAGGCAAACGATGCTGTCCAAACACACGATCGATAAATAGCTTTGCTGTGCCTTCAGCATCGATCGTATCCGGCCCAGCCGCTAATTGAGCCATCTTGCTCAAACGTTTGACAAAGGCCATAATACCAATGTGCCTTCCGAATCTTTCGGTAGGCCAAACGCAAAATCCATACTCATGGATTACCAACACCCAGTGGGTACATGCAGACTAGCCAGCGGCGCAGCCGCATGTGCAGAGGGTTTGACCCGTTGACACGTTTCGCACGTACGCACATAGGTGCTCACCTATTTAAACAGTTAAGCAACAAATAAGTCTAGCTCACCGAGCCAAAGGTCTTCTCACGACCGAGATGACCGCTCAAAGCGGTATCATGTGCCTCATAGAGGATTCGATGCTTCAATTTCTCATCGTGAGTGACAGCAAATTGAGGGGTATCCTCATATCCGTGCGATAGCACAACAGGCCATAATCGATGGAAAATCGATGTAGCCTCGCACGTATTTGTGTCGACAATTCTATGTCCGAGTCTTTAAACTCATCGCTCCCAAGAGCCCATAGCAAA